ATGCCATGCCATGCCATGCCATGCCATGCCATGCCATGCCATGCCATGCTATGCTATGCCATGCCATGCTATGCCATGCCATGCCATGCTCTGGTACAAAGCCTGTGTCTTGGGGGGACCAAACCAGAATTTTGCATTTTGTAATTCAGGAGGAGGTTTAAGGGATGCTTGCTTCAAGTCCCCCCCGGTGCTAAAGGCACCCTTATTATCCCTAAATTCTCTTGACCCCCATCCATTCCCCAAAGGGACCCTGGGCTGCCTGCTTGGGTGGAGCCTTGGTGGGCACCCAGTGCCTGGCACACATGGTGCCACCCTTGTCCTCGGCAACGCCACCGGTAATGCAGAAAACAGGCACTCCCAAGGCCCAGCCCAGCCCCTCATTAAGTGGAGATTTTGTGAGATCTTTCAACTTAACCTACCTTATTAGTTGATTTTGGCTGGAAACTGGAAGGAAGGCTCAACCAATTAGGTAATTCTATAACTTAAAATGCCCCGAGCTAGTTATAGTGAAGCCCAAACCTTTGGAAGCCCTATTCGAGGGTTTGGGGGCTCTTGGTAGGCAGACATCCCATCCTCCCACCCCCACCCCCCCCAAAAAAACTTTTCTGGATGCTGGAGCACACTCCTTCACTTTAATCCCAGTTCACAATTGTTCAGAATGGGGAAATCAATCATTTTGGGATACAGCAGAGAATATCTATGCATGATGATGTAAAGCTATTCAACACCACAGACAATACTGCTACCCTCCAAAAAGACCTTGACTATGTATCAGAATGGTCAATCAAATGGCAACTTCAAATCTCAACAAATAAATGCTCTGCCTTATATATTGGCAGAAAAAATCAAAATAAAATACAAGCTAAATAGTCAAGACCTTGTTGAGGATCCAAACTCTGTCAAGGACCTTGGAATACTCACCTCTAATGATCTAAGTGCTAGAGCCCACTGTAACTACATAGCCAAAAAGGCGTTAAGAGTTGTTAACCTAATCCTACGTAGCTTCTTCTCTGGTAATATCACACTACTAACTACAGCATACAAAACATTTGCTAGACCTATACTTGAATACAGCTCATCAGTCTGGAACCCATATCATGTATCTGATATTAACACAACTGAGAAAGACCAGAAATATTTCACAAGAAGAGTTCTCCGCTCCTCTACTCATTGCAGAATACCTTATGCCACCAGACTTGAAACTCTAGACCTAGAAAATCTAGAACTATGCCGCCTCCGGTCCGATCTAAGTATAGTATATAAAATCATACATTGCAATGTCCTACCTGCAAATGAATAGTTCAGCTTTAATCATAACAATACAAGAGCACACAATAGATACAAACTCAAGGTTAACCGCACCAAACTTGACTGCAGAAAATACGACTTCAGCAACAGAGTGGTCAATGCCTGGAATACTCTACCTAACTCTGTGGTTTCTTCCCCAAACCCCAAAAACTTTAACCTTAGACTGTCTACTATTGACCTCACCCCTTTCCTAAGAGATCTGTAGGGGGCATAAGCGCACCAATCGTGCCTACCGTCCCTGTCCTATTGTTTCTTTTATTTTTCTTATAAGTATCTATCTCATGTATTCAAAACTATATTTATTCTTATACCTGTATCTTGTAAGCGATTGACAAATCAAATAAATACTAAAAATACTAAAGAAGCTTAAGAATAGGGGAGAGAAACATAACAAACACTGCATTTTACATACCAGTTAGATCCAAAAGGTATCAAGTAACTATTTCAACCAATATATACAGTATTATTAACGATATTAGTGCTACAACTGATAATTTGCTTTCTAGTTATGAGTAACAGAATTGGAAGGGACCTTGGAGGTCTTCTAGTCTAACCCCCTGCTTAAGCAGGAAACTCTACACCACTTCAAACCAATTGTTTATCCAATCTCTTCTTAAAAACTTTCAGTGTTGGAGCCTTTCAATTTCATTGCACACATTGATTTGATTCACAACTTCTGGTGGCAAACAGTTCCACTGGTTAATTGTTCTCACTGTCAGGACATTTCTCCTGAGTTCTAGATTGCTTCTCTCCTTGATGAATTTTCATTCACTGCTTCTCGTCCTGCCTTCAGGTCCTTTGGAAAATAAGTTTGTTATGAACAATTAGCTCCTTGTTGATGGTTAACGTTCCCACCAATTGTGCATTTGTGTGGTGAAGTGTGAAATTTGAGACAGTGAGTTGCATCTTCTGCCTGGCTGTTTCTAAATAGAGATAATTCACTGGATGTGTCGCTTGCTCTACGATCAGAACTAAAAGTTTTGCTTGAGTTGAGAAGTTTTTAAAATAGAATAGAATTCTTTATTGGCCAAGTGTGATTGGACACACAAGGAATTTGTCTTGGTGCAAATGCTCTCAGTGTACATAAAAAAAAAAAGAAAAGAAATGCAGAGGCTTTTTTTTTCTTTTTTAATTTTTCATCTCCACAATTCAAAGCGACTTCTTCATCCCTTGCCAGCTTTGCAATTTGGTATTGTCCACCTTTGTTATTTCGGCATCTGCAAAATACAGGGTTTTTCCTTCTCTCTCTCTCTCTCTCTCTCTTTTTTTAAAAAAAACCCACGTTGCATCCCACTGAGGGTGGGGTGGGAAAGGGAGGCTTATTTTTAGTGGCCAATCAAAATATTTTCCAAGATGAAGGAGGGAGAAACACACAGAGACTTTTGGTGGCGTGTCAGAAAAACCAGCCGAAGACAGTGCAACCTTTGAGATGCCTCGGCTGGAAGCAACGGACGGCCGTCCAGGCTTGGCCATGCCCAGATAGCCATGCCCGACTGGACCTCTTGGGCGACCCCTTGCTGTATGATGGGACCCTCAGCCAGCCTCCTCTTCCTCCTCCTGCTATTCCCAGGTAGGTTGCCTGGGGCACTTCCCAAAAGTTTGGGGAAGGAGGGTGCCATTCTCGAAAGTGGAATCCTCCAGTTGGAGGAGGCTCAGTGTGTGTGTCTGTGTGGGTTTGTGCGTGCCACTCAGAGTGGAGAAGGTCTGCCAGCTTCAGGGTCTCTTAATTTCTCATTGGGAAGGGGGTTTTACATTAAAAAAAAAATCTATTTTTTTTGCAAATGAATCAAAATTCAAGCCAGAGACTGTATTTTCTTGCAAACTTGCAACCACGGTAAATTTGTGTGTCTTTCCCGTTTGTTATTTTGCTTAGAGGGCGTAGCGCCGGGAAAACGATTTCCCTCAATCTAGTACAGGAGCCCTCCCCTTACAACGGTTGGCTTCAAAGTTACGACAGCACTGAAAAAAAAGAACCCAGGGCTGTTTTTTGCACTTGCGACCGGCACAGCATCCCTAGGATGACATGATCAAAAGTCAGGATGCTTCATATTTATGACGGTGTGTGAAATCACCCGATCCCCTTTTGCGACCTTCTGACAAAGCAAAATCCATGGGGAAAACAGGATTCACTTAACAACCAGGTGACTTAACTTATCAACTGCAGTGATTCACTTTACAACAGTGGCAAGAAAGGTGATAACATGGATGAGGGGGAGTTATTATTTTATTATTATGATTTATTTACTTTGGTTTTTTTCTACGTTGTTTTCTACGTTGAGCGAGTAATAGGCTGCTATGTGTGTGTGTGTGTGTGTAAGTATGTATGTATGTGTATATGTGTATATGTATGTATGTATGTATGTATGTATTCATATTCCAAAATAAATAAATAATACAAATGGGGCAAAAAACTCAGTTAGCAAAGGTCTCACTTTAACAACAGAAATTTTGGGCTCCGTTGTGGTCAAGGACTACCTGGAGTGGAAATCCAGCTGCCCCTTTTCTGCACTTGAACAAATTTGGTTAGGATGAACAGAATATTAGACTGAGTTAATCTAAGGATTACAACACGTCAGGGAAATGCTTTTATTGTTCAAGGTTTTGGAAACCCTTGATGATTCTTCAGCCTTTAGGGTTTATTGCTGCCCTGCTTGCTTGTTTTTGTTAGCCATTCATGCATTTTTATGTAAGGTTCTGTGTGTAAGGAATGTGGTTAAAAACATCGCCAAATGTATGTGTTTCTTCCAGCAATACAAGTTCATTCTTTTATTTTTAAATTTTGAATATGCAGCCCAGTGTTGATTTTAAATATATAGCCTAGTAGCGTTAATTAAAAAAAACACACACGATGTGCATTTTTTTTCTTGTGCTCAGAAGCTAAACAAAGCTGGGTCTTAGTAAGAATTGGATGGGACACCACAAGGAGATCCTGGGGCTGAGAATTCTCAGAGTGTAACCTAATCTGAGAATTAAAAAAAAAAGAATCACAGAACGTTTTATTTAATTTAAATGAAATGTAGGGTCCTTAACATTATACAAAGAAGGCACATAGCTGGAGGCAAATAGGGTTAGGTCAGGCTTGCTGTCTTGAGCTACAGACTTTCTCAGAGTTTAAAAAAATGTTTTTTTAGGAGTGACCATGTCAGCGTTACCTGGGTGCAGCCAACTCTGAGACACATCACTCATTTCCCCCTTGACCCTGGTCTTCCCCCCATCCCCTCGATGTATATTCTCCAATGGGACACATCCATAGCCAAGAGCCATCAGTCATGCTCTCCAGTAATAATCTTGTGTGCCAACAGGTTCGGCTACCTAGCAATTATCTGAAACATCTAAGGAATGCACTACTTCTCCCACTCCCTTTCTGCTGACAACTCTAAAAGAAAAGACCAGAGAAATATTTCTGAGTTGACATAGGGACCGTTCAAAGTTACAATGACACTGAAAAAAAATGACTTAAGTTAGGACCATTTTTCACACTTATGACCATTGCAGCATCCCCAATGGTCACGCGATCAAAATTCAGATGCTTGGAAACTGGCATGGACTTATGATGGTTGCAGTGTCCCAGGGGACCACGTGATCCCCTTTTGCGATCTTCTGACGAGCAAAGTCCATGGAGGAAGCCGAATTCACTTAGCAACCGGGTTACTCACTTAACAACTGCAGGGATTCGCTTAACAGCTGTGGCAGGAAAGGTCATAAAATGGGGCAAAACTCACTTAACAAATGTCTCATTTAGCAGCATAAATTTTGGGCTCCATTGTGGTCATAAATCGAGGACGACCTGTACGCATCTGGATAGGGCCTGGTTCACGGGTTTAATATCCCAAAGTCCACAGTAAAAAGTCACCAATTCAATCCAGAGTTTACTCATCTAGAAATAAAAATTTCTCTTTTGATTTCAAGAGAAGTGGAGCAAGATTAGCTATGGAGAGTTCAAATAATTGCTCATTTTATAGAAACAGCAACTACACAGTGACTATTTCCCCCCAAATATAATGCTCAACCAAAGGAAAGCAGTCTGAAATCATATAGGGTCTCCTGCTTGAGCAGGGGGTTGGACTAGAAGACCTCCAAGGTCCCTTCCAACTTTATTCTGATTGATTGATTGAAATAGGAGGGAGGTTTCTTGAAATCAAAACTGGGACTCAGGTAATGGCTGATCTATAAACTAGATGAGTGTGTGATGGGGTTGCCTAGCCAAGAGTGTGTAGGAGGTAGGAGGTAGGGGGGAGGAGTGGGAGGAAGAAGAGAAGGACAATAAGGACAAGAAACATAAGAGGAAGAGGAGGAGTGGAGGAGAAAAGGAGGAGAAAGAAGAGGATAAGAATTGGAGGAGAGGAGGAAGAGAAAAACAGGAAGGTGTGGTGGAGAGGAGGAGGAGGAGAATAGGGAGGAGCAGGATCTTTTCCTCTGGGGTGCGTCATTGTGCTGAAAACAGCCTGAGTTGTTTGACTTAACAACATACATGGAGTGACCATACAAAGTTACTCTCAGGGCTCCGGTAGTTACCCCCATTTAAATCGTGCGTCTCTAGCCGGATTTTCAAAGCTTAAAGAAGATTTATTAGGAGTAAACATGGTGGTGCTACCTGGGTGTAGCCGACTCTGAGGCACATCATTCATTGTCACCCTTGACCCTGGTTTTCCCCCCACCCCCTGGGTGTATCCTAATTCATATTCTCCAATGGGACACCTCCCTAGCCCAGAATCATCAATCATGCTCTCCAGTTAGAATTTTGCCCGGCAGAAACATCAGTCACCTTGGAACTATCTTTGAAAACATTTATGGAATGCACTTTCGATTTCCAAGCTGCCACACTGCTCTTTCAAAACCCCTTCCCCCCCTCCCTTTCTGTTAGCAGCTCTAAAAAGACCAGAGAAATATTTTATGAGTTGTTGACATTTACAACATCAGAGCGGAAAAAAAGAAACGTACATTTTTTCACAGTGACAACCTTTGTAGCATTTCCACCATCACACAATCGAAAATTCAGAGGCTTGGCAACTGGTTCATACTTACGATGGTCGCTGTGTGCTGGGGTCGTGCCGTGGTCTCCTTTTGCGACCTCCTGACGAGCAAAGTCAACAGGGGAAGCCCGATTCACTTAACAACCTGGGTTGCTAACTTATCGATGGTAGAGATTCACTTAACAACCGGGGCAAGGAAGGTCATAAAATGGGGCTAAAACTCCCTTAATAAAGCGAATTCAGGCTTCCTCCGTCGACGTTGCCTGTCAGAAGGCGGCAAAAGGGGATCGCGTGACCTTGGGACGCAGCAACGGTCGTAAGTATGAATCAGTTGCCAAGCAGGGGCAGAGAGGTGATTTTAATTATGCATACCTGGAATCGGAATAGAATAGAATGAATGAGCTGGAAGGGACCTTGGAGGTCTTCTAGTCCAGCCCCTCTGGTGCTTTGGAGAATAATTTGACCCCCTCTTCTTTGTGGCAGCCCCTCAAATACCGGATGACTGCTATCATGTCATCTCCTAATCCTTCTCTTCTCTAGACTGGCCATACCCAAATCCTGCAACCCTTCTTCCTAAATTTTTGTCTCCAGGCCTTTAATCACCTTAGTTGCTCTTCTCTGCACTTTTTCCAAAGTCTCAACATCTTTTTTTGTAGCATTTTGTCTTTTGATGACCCTGTAATATCCCTTGCATCGGGGTGGAATCAGGGCAACTGAATGGAGCTGAGTGTTTACTGGCCGGATACCCTTCCTGTCGCCAGTGCAGAGTTTGTAGCTGATATTTACTCAATTCTGTTTACCCATTGTGACTTTTTTTTTTTTTTTTGGTAGGATGATGACCAACATTGGTTGGAGTATTCCAGGTGTGGTGGTCTGACTAGGGTTTTACAAAGCGGTATAGTAGTCTTGATCTTGATTCTATGCCTCTGTTTATACAATCCAGGATTGTATTAGCTTTTTTGGTGGCTGCTGCACACTGCTGGCTCGTATTCAGGTAGCAGGTAAACTCTTAACCAAGTCAGTAAAAGTTAAGTTTCCGAGTTATTGAGGCTTAGTGCATTGGGTGGATGATTATTCCTCCTGGGCTCTCTGCAGCTGAATGTGGACACAAATGGTCAGTGGGCTGCCCCCTTTGAAATGGGTTTCCTAAATTCAACTGGGGCCAACATTTCAGTCCCTCTGCTGCATCCACTGCAGAGAAAATCAGCACTTTGGGCAGTTTGTGGGAAAAACCATCACGGGAAATGCAAAGCGAACAGCAGTGGCTGTATACTTAATAGCTCTCTGTGGTTAGCCTTGGAAGGAATCTTTATTTTTTCTTTCTTTCTTTCTGGGGAAAGCAACACAACACAAGAATCCTTAATTCCATGGAGTGCTTCTGAAAGCATTATTGTATACAGCAGGGAGAAGGCAGTTAATTTCCCCCAAGAGGCCACATGAGAAACTTAGAACTGTTGCGGAGGGCTGAACTTAATTCTGCTCAACATTAATTTTCTTGCTTTATTTTTTTTAAAAAAGCATTAAATTATGTGGTTTTGATTACCGTGAAGGTGCATAGGCACACACACACAGAGAAGTAAATTGGGGGGGAAATAGC